ATTAATTAATTAAAATAATATTAAATCTGTCTGAAATAAATTGGATTAATAAATAAAATCTTACGTCTTATCTAGTATCTCTCTAGAATCAAATATATTAGAAGATCAATCAAAAAATTAAACAATTCCAGACGTTAAGAATTGCTCGAAGTGCAAAGTTGCATCTTGAAACAAACGCTCTCTCATCGCTTTGTTTCAATTTGGCCATTCAATCGCTGCGAAAACGCTTCCGGCAGCCCCGGAAACACCCTGTACCTCTTTACAAAGAGCGGTAATTTTTATTTTGTAACTTCCGCATTATTCCCACTCTTCATGCACTCGCATCGTTATTCTCGCTTTCCTCATTATTATTCTCTCTCGTTCGCGCGATCCGTTCTCTCACATGTACAAACATACGCACTCTTTCTTACTTCGTCCTCCTCTCCTTCCGTTAGTTTTTAAATTATCGTGTGTGTTTCTACTCGTCTACCTATCTATTTACCTAATTGCCTGTCTATACATTATTCCTGCGTGTATGTGTGTGTGTGAGTAGATGTTTAAATGTGTACGCGTTACCACATAGACCTGTAGATTCGATATGACTTAATCGTTCGGGGGGATTGGGTTTGGGAGAGGGCTAAAGAAGGGGATAATATTCGTAAAATAAGTACGTAATCTCGCAATACGCGGTGATAAACAGTAACGACGAAGTAACAAGTACAATATTGCTCGATCCCGTATTTATATATTTATATATATATGTATATATATATATATATATTTGTATTTATATATCTATGTACTCGTTTGTTTATTTATAATATATATATATAATATGTAATAAAGATACTCTTTTTCTCTCTCACTCTCTCGCTTGATTAGAGTAGCCTTTTTGCAACACTCGATTCTCATCTACCAGGAGCTATTTAAGAAAGGGCTCACCGCGCTCGCTCTCTACACGGTTATGTATACATATGCATATATATATATAGATATATATGCAAATAAATGACATATGTATACCGGCCGTTCCACTTTTGAACCGCGTTATTTCTTAAGCTATAGATTTCTTTTGCCGGATCCGGAATCGATTTTTCCTCGACAAATCGAGGGATTTTGTCCCATTCGCGGAAATTTCGCTAACACTTTATATCTTTGTAATAAATTAAAATTCCGCTCGATTAATCGAAGAATACAATTGCGATAAATTGGCAATTATTCGAAAGCCATCGGTTGTCTTGATATTTTCGTCGAAGAAAAATCCATTCCGAATTGACCAAAGAATCTGTCATTAGTGGATTAATAAGATAGAAATGAGACACCCCTGTGTATATACGTCATCTATTTAGAAATATTTAAAATTTTTCTCGACATAAGCGATCACTATAGGCCTAATGATCTCGCGTCGTGTCACAATTTCTCTCTCTCTTTCTCTCACATACACACATTCGGATTTTATTTTTCGCTCTCTCTCTCTCTCTCAAACTTTCGCGAATCCTTTCACTCCTCTTAAAACACATATTCGTCCGGCGAAACGTTCAAAGAGCATTTTTCTTTCTTCTTCGAGAGAAAGCAAAGGACAAGCAAAATCGAAAAGGCTACGCAATTATTTGTGCTCGATCTTTACTGGCCGCGCCGCTCGAGAGAGATCGATATCCGCTATTACGACTTATCATTTCCTTCGAGGTTTAGAAAATAGAGATGTCGTGGAAAAAAACGCCTACGTTGATTAAAAATTATTGGCTTCCTCTCCGTTGTCGAGCAATAAATCGATCCCCTTTGCATTGCCAACGCGCGTGCAGCTAAAGAGGATAGCGTATAAAATTGCGTAATGACCGTAGGGATGCAAGAACTCTGACTTGAAATTACTAAGACTGCCACTTTACAATAAATTAGTGGATTAATAGTTTACAAAATTATCAAGGAATATCTCAAGTCTGGAGGCGTATATTCATTAAATGTCAATAATAACGAGAACGCGTTCGCTATGTAAGAATCTTTTACTGTTCTTGTTCTGTAATAAGGGTATACCAGGATCACAGCGGGATAATTTAGGGCCACTACAGAATTATCGAGAGATTCCACGGATATCGATTCTCGAGCCGCGGCAGGCTTCTTCTCCTCCTCTCCTCGTCGTACGATTTAACAAGGTAGGTACGTCGCCCTCGTGTAAATACAGTAATGTACAATCTTTCTTTTTTTGGAGTTAAACCTTACTGTGATCTCGGCGCGATTGGCGCAAAAGGGTAGAATTGGGGAGGGGTGTGGTAGGGAAGGCAAGGACAAGGGGGATAACACCTACGCTCTACGTTGTCGAGTTGTGTGAATCGAGTTTTAAAAACGACGAAAAAAGAAGACCTCGCTCTATCTACAGCTTCAGCGACTCCTATTAATCGTGTATGGCTGAACGCGTTCTCTTCGTTGCTTCGGTTACGTCTCGGTATATATATTCTTCTTCTTCTTCTTTTTTTTTCTCTTTCTCGTCCTGTGCTCCTTCGTCCTCCGCACGCGATTCCACTCCCTTCCTCCTCCAAGTGTCACCGATCTCTCTTTGCGCGTTCCTCGCACGCGGATCCGGGTGGGACACCCGATAGAATTCCGAAACGCTTTCGAGATTACTCGAGATTGAGTTCGGGAATGTGTGTGTGTGTATATATGTGCATGTATAATCGATTAAAAATTTTTTTTTTTATATGGAAGGGAAAGGAAAACAACAAGGCCCTTCGCGGAGAAAACTCGGGAAAATTCAAGAGAGGGAGATTAAGTATGTCGCTTTTCTCGCGTGCGTATAGATAAAATATCAGCTATCGTTGAATATAGCTCTCTCGAGCGCGATTTATAATCGGAGAGTGATAAATATATAACGAGATAATAAGTAAAGCTTGCACGAGCTTGCTTGTACGAGAATATTAGTAATTTTTCTCGTCAAAGGGAGATGAGTGTAATGTTTTTGTACTGTGATACTGTTGCTTCCTCTCGTCTCGTCTTTTCAATATAATTCCTCTCCGGAGTCGATTGAACCAAGAAGAAAATTGATTAATCGTTGCACTGTCGTGTGCATTTAATCTCGAATACGTGTACGTGTACGTATATATGTGTAATTAACGAGATATATATATATTTTTTTTTCTTTCTAATTTAAATTTTACAGTTAAAGTTAATGTTAATCCTGTCGACAAAGAACGAAGCTGTGCTCGCTTTTAAAACAGAGATTAAATTTCACAGTTCCGCTTTTTAAACTACACGATACCCGAAATTTCTGCCACGCTAGAGAAAAATTCCATCGGCACTTTATTGTGATCGTTACAATGAAACTGCTGGTCTTAAATTAGAAATTCTATATTTTAATATCCGATTTTATCCGCCGATTATTGCCGATTATCTGCCTCGAAGTGATTCGTTTCGAATACTTTAGGCTTCATCGGCAAATTATTGCGGCTATGGTAAAAAATTAAAGAGCCCGTGTTTCGGAGATTAAATTTTATTTCTGTTCATGTAACAATGGTTGAAGTGTATCTTTGATCGAAAATTACACCGGATGTCCTCGGATGCCTAAATTAGGAAAATTAGACGGAAATACTCGAATTTCAAATCAAAAATCAAATTCAATCTCCAAATCCGTGACTCGATCTCGCGTTAACCCTAAACTTGCAGCAGAAACTAAGGGAGTAGAACTCAAAGAATTATTTTACAAAGGAGATACATTATACAACAGTACTCACCAATATGACAACAAATTCAGCGTTTATTTTTTTACATAAATTTTTCCTGAGCTGCATTGTTTGTAAAGCGGATTGCAATTAGCGGATTGCGGTTAACGCGCAAGTTAGAAGAGACACCACAAGAGATAACACAAATAAAAATCGTCTAAAAGATCAGAAGTCCATTTATATGACGACGATTTTTAAATATCATTTCTAATTTACCCAAATATATACAATGCACATAATTCCTATTTTAAAATTAAAGTAAGAAAACAGAATTACGTATTTTTTTACATGACTTACTCAGTCAAGTTTAGGGTTAAGTATTTTGGCAACGTTAAGTATATTTCTCTTAAGCTTGTTTCCGTCAAGCTTGATGTCTTCTTTTTTAGACGCGAATGAAGAGACAACGAACGAAACACGAATAAGGTAAGCCGCTTGCAAACAATTGAGTGGGCTGTCGAGTGTAAATTGTGCTGATTGTTGGTGGTGTCGGTGTTGTTCTTGTTGTATTGTTGTTGTCGGTGATGGTCGTAGTGGTGGAGGGTGATGGTAGTGATGCTCGTGGCGGCCGATGGGGGTGGTCGACAGAGAGTACGGCCGCTTACTTGAGTAGCTGATGGGCTCGCTCGTTGGCCACCTGTATCCTCGTCTCGTTCGATTCACCCTGCGTGTCAAAGAACAAGAAAAACAAAAACGCAATGTCGTATACGCGAGCTGTCGAGGACCGGTCGGTATAAATCGAGGCCGGGGATCGCGAAATGTCACCATTTCCGCGGACACTCTAATATATCGCAGATGATTTCTTAAAGAAACTTGAGAAAGAGTCGTCCAAGATTTTCAAAAAGTATTAATTTAACGCGAAATGTCTCTATCGATCATAAGAATATTTCCTTATGAATATTAATTCTATTTATTGGAATATAATTCTAAAATAATATAATTTTTAGTTAATATAGCTGTATTTGTTGCAAACTATTTCGCTGGAATAGTAGATTGATTCTTACTTTGTTAAAGCAGCTCTTTACGTGTGATTTTCAAAAAACTACGTGGTTTTCTACGAGAATCTCGAGACGAAAATTTCTCAAATGCCATAGTGACCGTGACAATTAAATTCGACACGACCACACTTTTGTGAAATCCGCGCGGCGTCGCGCGAAATCCGAAAGACGACGAAATTCGCACGCTGCTCCTCATGTCAAGCGTTTTAACCCGATCGATCTTGTCGGGGAGCATCGGGGCGAAAGCGTCGAGAACGTTTCCCACATAGGGTTCAAAGGGATCAACGAGAGGCAATTCCCTGTCGCCGTCGTCGACGGCGGCGTTCATTCGTGACAATCACAACGAGGATGACAACATGTGACATGGGCGTTGTGACAACGTGTGTATAAGAGTGAAATGACACATCTCAGTGCGATGCTCCATCGCTCATTAATCTCGGTCTACACTAATGCTTTTTTTTTGTCTCTCGATATAAAATCCATCCATCGAGAGAAAATCCGATCTTTACTTATCCGTTTATCTGTCATTAACAGATTGAATACCGTTTGCATCGTTTTTCAAAAAAAAAAAGTTCAAGTTACAATTTACGTGGCATTTTTAGAAAGTGGATAAGGATACACAAAATAAAAATGTCTCACGATCCGCAGTTTTAATTTTAACAACTAACTCTCTAACAAATTTGCTATTTCTTAGTGGAAGTATCAAGGCATCACTATTTTTTTTTTTTTACGGTTGAAAGACCAAAGGCTTCTCACGAATTGTAAAAATTTCAAAAATATATAGATAAAGATAACATTTTTTCGCGCTCTAAAGATCCTAAGTAAAACATTTCCTTCGGAAAGCATTGTGTATGTACCGTGACTATCAAGCAACTGTTCACTCTATATCGTCGTTGTATCTCGATAAAAGCTTGGTAGTAATGATTAGTAGATTTTTTTTTTTTCGTTATTGCACAGGTTATTTTTGTGGCTCGGATTGTGGAGACAACACTCGGGATTGGTGTCCGAGCGACGACGAGAAGACAGCAGAAAGGAAGAGGGTTGGGGATGGGGGAGATTATTTGTAGAACTGGGAATATTCATATCATATAATGTGATATTTCAACATTTTAGCAATTGCAAATATTATATATTCAAATATATAATATTACTCGTGTATATATATATATATATCTCAATCATTTTAATAAATGAACATTATATTCGGATATAACATTGCGTCATAATTCTCAAATCACAACACGCACAATATTCATGCGCGATATCATTTAATAATTTCAACTAATTTAATTTATAATGTTTAATAATTAGGTTACGCACGAATATCTTTCTTTAATTCAAATATTCAACTTAATATTTATAATATTCTCGCTCCTCCTCCCCTTCCTCGCATGCAGGAATAATCCCAGTTCTACAATCGTGCGTGTCAGGTCTCTAAATATGTATAATACACAATATGTATAATTTCTCCTTTCTCTTTTTTTTTTTCTTTCGTTCGAGACGACATCTCATCATGATATGCAACTTGGGGCTCGGAGGAGGCGGATACGTGGAGACAGAGAGAAGAGACGCATTTTACTTGAGCAGGGCGTGCGCACGTTGGTTTGCCACGGCTATCCTCGTTTCGTTCGACTCGCCCTGCGGATTATCAGTTTGGGTTTCGGTCATAGAGATGTGCGATGTGGTTGCGAATGGATGTGTATGTGTATATGTATATATGTATGTGTGTTTAGTGCGGCTTTCGTTCACCGGTGTGATGCACAATCTCTCGAGTCTTGCGGTTTTCGCACGGGGTTCAACCCTTTTCGACATTATATAGTACCACGATCGGATCGTGTAGCAGATTATACCGCACTTTGTGCTAATCAGAGAAATCGTCTCAATACGATAATTAATATTAAATAATGCACGATCAATCTTGTATTTTTGAAAAAAGTGAAGAACTTAATTCACATTTAAATTAAGTAAAATTATAGAAAATTAATTAATAAGTTTTTGTGATTAATAAAACCTTTTCTCCCCTGCATTTACATATAATTTTTTGATCGATTAATCTAGTGGACTGTTTGAGATTGTGCACCCTGCACCCCACTGTAACAACCCATTAAAGACCATAATTATATTTTTATAGAACACTGATTTTTGTGATTATCCGATTAATATGTAAATTAATCGGATCTTTTACGCGGAAAGATTAGATCAGGATATATCGAAATAAAATGGCTTAGAATATTTGAAATCATATCGAAGTTTTAAGATATGATCTTTAAGAGCTAACAATCCTCGAACGATCAACATTTATTGTCGATATCGAAGAAAAAATATTGTGTCACGGTAAGAAAGAATCTGATAGTTAATACCAAAGACATTAAACAATCGATGGAAAGAATAACATAACAAAGAATCTAATAATAAAAAAAATGAGATAGAAGGAAGAAAAGAAAAATGAGTCAATGAGTCAAGGAAATATAAATTTAATCTCAATAAATATCAGAGGTTGGAAGGTAAATGTCGATGCGTCGAATATCGATTATTGAGTTGCGCATTTAATTCGGGTTAATGCAAACGCTGTAAATGCCGTATATACGATAAATACGGAGTTATAATACGAGAAATAAAATTGATCGGGAGCTCAATAGCGCCGCGTTGCAATAAGTAGTGACAGATAATTATTGAAGTATTGAAGTTACCGCGTTAGAGATATGAATATGTATTGATCGTTCGAGGAGCACTTTATAGTCACAGAATTCTGCCTCTCTTTTGTCTAGGACCTACTAAGAGGACTATGATAAAAATCCAAAAGTGACAGTGGATGGATTCTCAAGCGTTCTTATTTGAAGAAAGAAATAGTTAACAAATTATCACATCGTTAGAATAATAGATTCATAAATTTTATTATTTATTCATAAGAAACATGTAGCCCTACTTTCCCTAATGCAAATATTATTTCAACTTTAATAATAGATATATAATTCAACAAAAATCTCTAACTAAACAAATTGTTAATTCAATCTTTTTGCACAAGTTTAAAATCTTGCATCTCTTTATCTTAAAATTAGTATTTCAATATGAAAGAGTTTTTATTTTTAATCCGTCAAAATTTTTGTTTGCGCTGAGAATCCATAGTCCTGAAAAAATCTCGTAAAAAAGAGATAGAAAGAGAGAGAGAGAGAGGTGGTGCAATAATTTAGTAAGAACATAAAAGGCAGGCTGTATCGAGAGGATGACCGAGGGATAAAGTGTGCCCGTGGAATAAATCGAGAAGGTGCCGTAGAAAAAAGAGCGACGTCTAAGACGAGGCGAATCATGGCGGCTAAAATCGTGCGGTGCGCTTGCGTAAGCATGCGTTGAAACGGAAATTGCTGGGATTACTTTTATCTTTCGGACAACGATATTGAAATTGCACTTTTGCAAGCCGTAATTTCGACTTCCCGTTGCAACTTTAATCTTAAACAAGAAAATCGAAAGGGGGGGAGAGGGAAAAATCTTACAATTATAAAAATTGTACAAATTCGTCACTGCATTTCTGATGTGGTGTGTAATTAAACAAATGAATGAAATTGAGTTAAAAAAAAATTCCTAGATAACCAAAGTACATGATTTTTTTTTTTAATGAATATATTAATTCTTTTCTATGTTGTGTTATCGAGAAATATGATTTTATTATTTACAGTAAAACAGAGAATTTTAGTTTCATTTACGTCTTTGATATCATATTGTATATTATATTGTTTATAAGATTAAAGTTCAATCGATCAAAAGATCTCTTTAGCTGATTGTTAGACATAGTGCATGTCGCGCTGCTTTTTAAACACCATTTATTCTCGAGGGAAAAGTGAAAAAAGACGCGAATGGCGACGATGAACGTCGTTGGAACACCTGCTCGAATTAGGATCACGTGATATACAAGGATAGAGCGGAAGAAGGGAAGAAAGGAAAGGTCGATGGATACATAAAAAAGCGAAAGCGACGACAAATGTGATGTGCATCGCTCTGAGCCTGTGCATTGTGACATAAAGATACGCGCATATATCGCGACACATGTCAGTTCATCCCGTGTAATATAGTCCAGTAAACATATGCAAATATAAACCGTAATATTAGTTGCGATTAATTAAATTTGCATTATATATTGTTCAATATATATTTTTTCACAATTTAATTGAATTAAATAATTAACTATTAAACTAGGATTTAATTTTCTTGTAAAAAGTTGCATGTCGAATTAAAATTCAGTTAGAGATATTAAAAAGGGCTAGAATGCATTGTGAATTCAAAAATGCAAGGATTAAAAATTCCTCAAGTTTGTTTATAATGTAAATTTACAAGAATCCTCCAATTTTGATTTTCCTATATTTTCTAAAATTTTTAGTCTTATAAATTTTCAATTTTTCACGTTTATTTTAATCAAAATTCTTCAAAATAATCGATCAAATTGTTCGATATTTGCTAATAGTATTATTGGCAGATGTGTACTGGACTTAAATAACCACATCGACATACTGGATTACACTATAAAGACTATCGCTTGACACCATAAATTCATTAATCTAAAGTAATAATTTTACCTTGGTAAAATAAACATCAATCTGTTAAACTACTTATCAGATTGAAAGGCAAAAAGTTCCTTGTGACATACAACAATTACGTCAGAGCAATATTTTGCCCTTTATTGTAAACTTTGCAGCTTTATTTCAGACAATATGGTATTTGGTACTTTGACTTTTATCAAAAATGAAGGAAGAATGCATTCTAACACTGCACTCTTACTTCCAATTCTTCGATTTTTCTAAGACTTTAAAAGATTTTTCTTATCGTTCCCTCGACCAAGGATTTAACAGTATGTCGATGGGTGCGACGGACGCAAATTACCGTCCGGATAATTTTTTTACGCTCTTGTCCAGCTGGGAAAATATAAAGACTCTCCCTATTCTATACGCAGAGTACAATTTCTTAAAAAAAAGTCTAAAATATTAAAATTTCTTCGCAAAAATATCGCCTCGTAATTTCGTTTTTTACTTTGCCGTGATGAGAGGGGAGGAGGCGGTAGCTGGACAAGAGTACTTTTTAGAGCCATGCCAAGTAGCTCGGCAAAACTGCGATGTGCAGCATGGATACCGGGTGGTGATGATGGCGCATTCCCACTTACCTTGCGATTGATCCTGTCGATCTGCCGATTCTGATTCTCGAGCTCGCTGCCCATGTCGATCGCCATGTTCCTCAGATTGCCGATCATCGTGTTCACCTGGCCCATGTTGTCCTCCATCTCCCCTTCGCGCGCGTCGTTCGTAATCTTGGCGATGTAGCCACTCTGAGGCCCGATGCCGTTGCGGTCGTCCATCACCCGTTGGGGTTGATTGTTGACGACCTTGCCATCGTCGTTGCCCTTCCACGTGCCCTCGTCCTCCTTAAAGCTGGCGCCTCTGCGCGCGCAAGATCGCGAGCAACGCGATTAAGTTCGGGTCTATCGTGGAAAACTTTGTCGACTAACATGATGTTCAGCGAGAAACATCGATTTCATACAAATTGCAACTTGAAATAAATTTCATGTTTGATGCGATATTCTGCTTTAATTATATAGACTTGCACCGCCAATTATTATTAATACGTTAAGTCAGCTTTGATACAGATATCGCCAAAGTTCGAAACTTATAAACGACAATCATAATTTCATACGATATATCTTTTTTGATATATGAGTTACATTTAAACAATTTCTTATTATCTATATTTATTTCTTTAATTACTAAAATTATTTTTTAACGCGCGTTGAATTTATCTCTTATTGTTAGCTCATGTGCGATCAAAAAATCGTATATATTATTAATAAACCTGATAAGAGAGTAAAGTGTGTAAAGCATTTTTTCTGAATTTTTTTTTTTTTTAGAGAGAGTGACAGTATGCAAAAAAAAAAGAAAATACAAAATATAGCTAAGATAGTCGTATCATACTTGTTACAGGGAAGAACACAAAGGCCACAGCACTTTTCCATTCCAGTGAGATTCTTCTCGGCCTCTTTCATGTCGGCGTTAATCTGGTCCATGCCCTCCTCGATTCGGTCCAGCTGTTCTGTTTTTTTTTTACAAGGAATATAACGTTAGCCGGTGATAAGGCGATTGTCAGTCGCGAAGACTCGAAAGGGAAAGGGCAACCACGCGAGAAAGATCGTTACCTCTAATTAGGAGGCATAGCGAATGCTCTAAAAGCGAACTAAACTAAATCCGATCTAGAAAAGTGTCTACAACACTCCGATAAGAATGTCTCACGTGATGTATGTGTAATCAAGCTTCTCTAAAAATGGAAACAGCCTTAACCCTTTGCGCGGTGGAAATCTTGATTTTATATTCACGTTTCACACACACGCGAACCTTGATTTTCCAATACTCGATAATTTCTATAATTAGCAATCTCTTAGCTTAATTATTTATTTTAACCTCTTGATTATTTATATGTATATGTCTCACGGAGATTCATCTTCGTTGCTTTAATCTTTATTACTACGTCGGTTTCTGGGACTTATGTTGTAACAATGTTTTTTTTTTTTTCATGATTACGAAGCGAAAAGCCATCGCGAAGAGTTAAAGCTCTTACGTGTAGCTTTATAAGCAGCTTGAAACTATCGGAAACAAACAACGTAATGTAATCAAGCGGTTGCCGATTCAGAAGGCAAACGCTGGATGTGCATTGCCCAATCCTCTTTCGCTAATTTAATCTCCTGGAGAGAGAGAAAGAGAGAGTGAGAGAGAAAGAAAGATAAGCGACGGTTCGTGTAAAACCCTCACCCAAAGGAAAGGGGCGCCCCTTTTTTAAATTTTCCGATTTTCCGCTCCCCTCTCTCGTCTCATTTCCGCGCGACGTTCATATCTCGGATCACAAAATCGTGAATCTCACGTTCCGCGCAAAAATTCAAGAGAAAATTTCTGCAAGTATGAGTTTACTCTTGGATCTTGCACGGACGTTTATCGATAAGATACGGACGCCCTTTACCTTTTCCTTTCAAGCAATTGCGTTCGATTTTATATTTTACCACGAAGGATCAATCGAGCGGATAGACATTTTTTTCGTGTCTAATTGATGGAGTTCATTATTCTCAATGAATAGAATAAATGAACAAAGAGTCATTTGTTTAAATGTTCAATTAATAAATATATGTATTGACGATAATAAAAATAGAAGATTTGAGATATAATCGTGCACTTTGTAATTATAAAAATCAATAATTTATAGACTCTGTCAAAAGAATATTTTTAACACGCGTGGAAGTTTTATTATTGCAAAATTAAAGACGATGAGAAATAATTTGAGAATTTTTTAATAATTGCATTCATAGAATATAATCTTGTATTAATTATTATATAAAAGAATCGATACTTATTTTTTCTATATTTTAATCAGAATCGAGAAAAAGCTATAAAAAGTATGAAATTGTTCTCCGGAATCACCGGGCTAAAGGTCGATCTTGCGAAAAGAAAAACATCCGCTCGATGGAACCCCCGAGTCTGCACAAAGTGAAGTGCAAGACGAAAGCGCGGCTGTTAAGCGAAGAGTTTCCTCCTTGCTCGACTTTCTGGCAACGGGTGATTTTGCTGTTATGTGCCTACCGGATATGTACAGTGGGTTGGTTTCTCACGGTGGGTGGTGGAATTTTCTACACTAAGTGTACAGCATATCCCGAAATAGCTCTTGTCATACTTTCTTGACCGTCATAATTTTTTACCTTACATTACAGTTTTTTTATGATAATAAAATCTATGTAAAATTTTATCTACGATCTATTTATATTGTCTGGATTGCTTTAATTTCCTACATTTTATTATAACAGAGATAAATATATTACCGGATAAAAACGCGATTATACTAGACAAATCGAGTCCAAAACGGCCAAACGATTGATGAAAGAAGTATTTCGAGACACTCTGTATCTACGTAATATTTATAGGTTTGACTACGGTATACACGAGTTTGTCTAAAAGTATAGACGCCCGGGTGAATAGATGTACTCGTGTTCGGCTAATAGCATGTGTAAAAAAAAA